CTCTTTAAGCTTGAGGCATCGTAGGAATGAATGTATCTTGGTGTGGCACTACGGAATTAAACATTGTTGCAGCCATGGCGAATTCGTTTCTAATGACTCAAGCACAAAACCAATTTCAAATTTGAGCTACAACAGTGGTTAATTCGGTAACGCCACTCCATATTACGTCGGTTTCTTCAATGCCTCAAACGAACATAGCCTGAAATGTATCCATTTTACCTTGCTGTGAATGAATTTATGGCTATGATGATTTTGAAGAAACAAAATCCGTTTATGAGATTTTTAGCCTTTGTTCATATAAGAGACAAACGTATCTTGGCGTGGCATTACGGATTTAACCGCTGTTGCAGCCATGGCGAGTTCGTTTCTGATATAAATCAAGCCCAACACTGGATTTTAAATCTGAGCTAAAACGGTTATAGGCCCTGATATTTAGGCTTCCCAATTCTATTACAGTGATTTTTAGGCTTTCTTTGTTTGAGGCAGTGAAGAAACTGAATGTAACTTGGCGTTGGGTTACCTTACTAACTACCATTATACCAGCCCTGGCAATTTGGTTTCTTAGATTGCCTCAAGTGTATCAATTTTGTGTGGGTGTGTATAAGAAATCACGGGTGTTCAGATTTTGAATTTATGAAATTAATTACTCTGATTTTCAGGTTTTTACAGTTTGAGGCATTGAAGAATTGAATGCAACTTGGCGTGGCGTTACGGAATTGACCACCGTTGAAGCAGCCATGGCGATTTGGTTTCTTTCATTGCCTCAAGCGCCTAAATTTCGTGCTGGTGTAAGTAAATATTGTATGGCATATGATGATTTTGAAGTAATGAAATATGTTTCTCTGATCTTCAGACTTTGTTCATTTCAGGCAATTTAAGAAACCAATGTAATATGTCGCGGTGTTACGCAATTAAGCACCATTGTAGACTCCATTGCGATTTAGTTTCTTAAATTTCCTGAAATGTAGCCATTGACGTGGGTCTGTGTATGAGTTTAAGGCTGTGATGATTTTGAAGAAACGAAATCTGTTTATGAGATCTTTAGTCTCTTTAAGTTTGAGGCATCATAGGAATGAACGTATCTTGGTGTGGCACTACGGAATTAAACATTATTGCAGCCAAGGCAAATTCGTTTCTAATGACTCAAGCACAAAACCAATTTCAAATTTGAGCTACAACGGTGGTTAATTCGGTAAAGCCACGCCATATTACGTCGGTTTCTTCAATGCCTCAAACAAACATAACCTGAAATGTATCCATTTTACTCCGCTGTGAATGAGTTTATGGCTGTGATGATTTTGAAGAAACGAAATCCGTTTATGAGATTTTTAGCCTTTGCCTACAGTGTATCAATTTTGCCCTAATATTTAGGCTTCCCAATTCTGTTACAGTGATTTTTAGGCTTTGTTTGTTTGAGGCAGTGAAGAAACTGAACGTAACTTGGCGTTGGGTTACGTTACTAACCACCTTTATACCAGCCATGTCAATTTGGTTTCTTAGATTGCCTCAAGTGTATCAATTTTGTGTGAGTGTGTATAAGAATTCACGGGTGTTCAGATTTTGAATTTATGAAATTAATTACTTTGATTTTCAGGTTTTTACAGTTTGAGGCATTGAAGAATTGAATGCAACTTGGCGTGGTGTTACGGAATTAACCACCGTTGAAGCAGCCATGGCGATTTGGTTTCTTTCATTGCCTCAAACGCCTAAATTTCGTGCTGGTGTGAGTAAATATTGTATGGCATATGATGATTTTGAAGTAATGAAATATGTTTCTCTGATCTTCAGGCTTTGTTCATTTCAGGCAATTTAAGAAACCAATGTAATATGGCGCGGTAATACGCAATTAAGCACCATTGTAGACTCCATTGCGATTTGGTTTCTTAAATTGCCTGAAATGTAGCCATTCACGTGGGTCTGTGTATGAGTTTATGGCTGTGATGATTTTGAAGAAACGAAATCTGTTTATGAGATCTTTAGTCTCTTTAAGTTTGAGGCATCGTAGGAATGAACGTATCTTGGTGTGGCACTATGGAATTAAACGTTGTTGCAGCAATGGCGAATTCGTTTCTAATGACTCAAGCACAAAACCAATTTCAAATTTGAGCTACAACGGTGGTTAATTCGGTAAAGCCACGCCATATTACATCGGTTTCTTCAATGCCTCAAACAAACATAACCTGAAATGTATCCATTTTACTCCGCTGTGAATGAGTTTATGGCTGTGATAATTTTGAAGAAACGAAATCCGTTTATGAGATTTTTAGCCTTTGTTCATATAAGAGACAAACGTATCTTCGCGTGGCATTACGGATTTAACCGCCATTGCAGCCATGGCGAATTCGTTTCTGATATGACTCAAGCCCAACACTGGATTTTAAATCTGAGCTAAAACAGTTTTAGGCACTGATTTTTAGGCTTCCCAATTCTGTTACAGTGATTTTTACGCTTTGTTAGTTTGAGGCAGTGAAGAAACCGAACGTAACTTGGCGTTGGGTTACGTTACTAACCACCTTTATACCAGCCATGTCAATTTGGTTTCTTAGATTGCCTCAAGTGTATCAATTTTGTGTGAGTGTGTATAAGAATTCACGTGTGTTCAGATTTTGAATTTATGAAATTAATTACTTTGATTTTCAGGTTTTGACAGTTTGAGGCATTGAAGAATTGAATGCAACTTGGCGTGGCGTTACGGAATTAACCACCGTTGAAGCAGCCATGGCGATTTTGTTTCTTTAATTCCCACAAACGCCTAAATTTCGTGCTAGTGTGAGTAAATATTGTATGGCAAATGATGATTTTGAAGCAATGAAATATGTTTCTCTGATTTTCAGGCTTTTTCATTTCAGGCAATTTAAGAAACTAATGTAATATGGCGCAGTGTATCGCAATTAAGCACCATTGTAGACTCCATTGCGATATGGTTTCTTAAATTCCCTTAAATGTATCCATTAACGTGGGTCTGTGTATGAGTTTATGGCTGTGATGATTTTGAAGAAACGAAATCTGTTTATGAGATCTTTAGTCTCTTTAAGTTTGAGGCATCGTAGGAATGAACGTATCTTGGTGAGGCACTATGGAATTAAACGTAGTTGCAGCAATGGCGAATTCGTTTCTAATGACTCAAGCACAAAACCAATTTCAAAATTGAGCTACAACGGTGGTTAATTCGGTAACGCCACGCCATATTACGTCGGTTTCTTCAATGCCTCAAACAAACATAACCTAAAATGTATCAATTTTACTCCGCTGTGAATGAGTTTATGGCTGTGATGATTTTGAAGAAACGAAATCCGTTTATGAGATTTTTAGACCTTGTTCATATAAGAGACAAACGTATCTTGGCGTGGCATTACGGATTTAACCGCCATTGCAGCCATGGCGAATTCGTTTCTGATATGACTCAAGCCCAACACTGGATTTTAAATCTGAGCTAAACAGTTTTAGGCACTGATTTTTAGGCTTCCCATTTCTGTTACAGTGATTTTTAGGCTTTGTTAGTTTGAGGCAGTGAAGAAACTGAACGTAACTTGGCGTTGGGTTACGTTACTAACCACCTTTATACCAGCCATGTCAATTTGGTTTCTTAGATTGCCTCAAGTGTATCAATTTTGTGTGAGTGTATATAAGAATTCACGTGTGTTCAGATTTTGAATTTATGAAATTAATTACTTTGATTTTCAGGTTTTTACAGTTTGAGGCATTGAAGAATTGAATGCAACTTGGCGTGGCGTTACGGAATTAACCACCGTTGAAGCAGCCATGGCGATTTGGTTTCTTTAATTGCCACAAAGGCCTAAATTTTGGCTGGTGTGAGTAAATATTGTATGGCAAATGATGATTTTGAAGCAATGAAATATGTTTCTCTAATTTTCAGGCTTTTTCATTTCAGGCAATTTAAGAAACTAATGTAATATGGCGCGGTGTATCGCAATAAAGCACCATTGTAGACTCCATTGCGATATGGTTTCTTAAATTCCCTTAAATGTATCCATTAACGTGGGTCTGTGTATGAGTTTATGGCTGTGATGATTTTGAAGAAACGAAATCTGTTTATGAGATCTTTAGTCTCTTTAAGCTTGAGGCATCGTAGGAATGAATGTATCTTGGTGTGGCACTACGGATTTAAACATTGTTGCAGCCATGGCGAATTCGTTTCTAATGACTCAAGCACAAAACCAATTTCAAATTTGAGCTACAACGGTGGTTAATTCGGTAACGCCACTCCATATTACGTCGGTTTCTTCAATGCCTCAAACGAACATAGCCTGAAATGTATCCATTTTACCTTGCTGTTAATGAGTTTATGGCTATGATGATTTTGAAGAAACAAAATCCGTTTATGAGATTTTTAGCCTTTGTTCATATAAGAGACAAACGTATCTTGGCGTGGCATTACGGATTTAACCGCCGTTGCAGCCATGGCGAGTTCGTTTCTGATATAAATCAAGCCCAACACTGGATTTTAAATCTGAGCTAAAACGGTTTTAGGCCCTGATATTTAGGCTTCCCAATTCTATTACAGTGATTTTTAGGCTTTCTTTGTTTGAGGCAGTGAAGAAACTGAATGTAACTTGGCGTTGGGTTACCTTACTAACTACCATTATACCAGCCCTGGCAATTTGGTTTCTTAGATTGCCTCAAGTGTATCAATTTTGTGTGGGTGTGTATAAGAAATCACGGGTGTTCAGATTTTGAATTTATGAAATTAATTACTCTGATTTTCAGGTTTTTACAGTTTGAGGCATTGAAGAATTGAATGCAACTTGGCGTGGCGTTACGGAATTGACCACCGTTGAAGCAGCCATGGCGATTTGGTTTCTTTCATTGCCTCAAGCGCCTAAATTTCGTGCTGGTGTAAGTAAATATTGTATGGCATATGATGATTTTGAAGTAATGAAATATGTTTCTCTGATCTTCAGGCTTTGTTCATTTCAGGCAATTTAAGAAACCAATGTAATATGTCGCGGTGTTACGCAATTAAGCACCATTGTAGACTCCATTGCGATTTAGTTTCTTAAATTTCCTGAAATGTAGCCATTGACGTGGGTCTGTGTATGAGTTTAAGGCTGTGATGATTTTGAAGAAACGAAATCTGTTTATGAGATCTTTAGTCTCTTTAAGTTTGAGGCATCATAGGAATGAACGTATCTTGGTGTGGCACTACGGAATTAAACATTATTGCAGCCATGGCAAATTCGTTTCTAATGACTCAAGCACAAAACCAATTTCAAATTTGAGCTACAACGGTGGTTAATTCGGTAAAGCCACGCCATATTACGTCGGTTTCTTCAATGCCTCAAACAAACATAACCTGAAATGTATCCATTTTACTCCGCTGTGAATGAGTTTATGGCTGTGATGATTTTGAAGAAACGAAATCCGTTTATGAGATTTTTAGCCTTTGCCTACAGTGTATCAATTTTGCCCTAATATTTAGGCTTCCCAATTCTGTTACAGTGATTTTTAGGCTTTGTTTGTTTGAGGCAGTGAAGAAACTGAACGTAACTTGGCGTTGTGTTACCTTACTAACCACCATTATACCAGCGCTGGCAATTTGATTTCTTAGATTGCCTCAAGTGTATCAATTTTGTGTGGGTGTGTATAAGAAATCACGGGTGTTCAGATTTTGAATTTATGAAATGAATTACTTTGATTTTCAGGTTTTTACAGTTTGAGGCATTGAAGAATTGAATGCAACTTGGCGTGGCGTTACGGAATTAACCACCGTTGAAGCAGCCATGGCGATTTGGTTTCTTTCATTGCCTCAAACGCCTAAATTTTGTGCTGGTGTGAGTAAATATTTTATGGCATATGATGATTTTGAAGTAATGAAATATGTTTCTCTGATTTTCAGGCTTTGATCATTTCAGGCAATTTAAGAAACTAATGTAATATGGCGCGGTGTTAAGCAATTAAGCACCATTGTAGACTCCATTGCGATTTGGTTTCTTAAATTGCCTGAAATGTAGCCATTCACGTGGGTCTGTGTATGAGTTTATGGCTGTGATGATTTTGAAGAAAC